TCGTTGAAGCTTGCGGCCAGAACCAAAAGAAGTCGCAGTGCCATGCTCGAGAGTCAGATACAGATATCCGAGCCGCAGGTCTTCGAGCATGTAGAGGTCCGATGGAAGAGGAGGCCGAGAGGCGTTATACGTTGACAGTCGAGCGCTGAACACCGAGCAAGGCGCTTATTGTCGACTGGTTGAGTTGACGTGACCAAGGCGGCTAAATGTGGTCTGCAGACATCCGCGCATTGAAGCAATACGACCTTGCACAACCTCACGGCTGTTCCAGTCGCTGAGCCTCTGTTGCGGGACGCTACGCGCCGAGAAGGGTCATCGTGGTTCGGGTTCAAAGTTCTCTCGCGCGCCACATCGGGTCCGATCCCGCCCGCCGACCGCCGGTCGCCAGCCGCATTTTCTTGGACAAGACGACGATGGCCAGCTACTAGCTCTATGATGGACTATGCCACATATTGGTAGTCTAATACGAACCTGCGCTTGGGACTCACTATTACCTTAGGACTTTAGGTTCACAGTGCTCGACACATTCGTGGACGCCGATACGAAGGCGAACACTATTCATCGAATCCGAGAGTTGATTCATGGATCAAGGAGCCTGCATTGTAGTCGCTACTTGCACTTGGACACGTATAATGCACCAGATACTATATGACTGTCAGCAGGAACGACCCGGTTAGGAAGATTGGAGTGAACTCACATACTCTATGGCGAGTGCATGCTTCAACGACGTTGTCCTACTGTACGCATGATATTCAGTCATGCGCATACCACCATGCCTCCGCGTTAAGCTTACCTCGGGAGTAAACCAAATCCAGGAACCGTTGTGCTGATTCTCTGTGCGTCCTATGACACGGCGGTCACTGTCCTCGAGCGGGCGCATCGTCTTCTCCCAGTCTCCCCTGCCTGCCACAGCGATGTAAGCCGCTCGATGTTCCCGGTATGCGCTCGCGGACTTCCTGACTTTCGCCTCGAGTCTATGTAGTGCATTACGAGCGCGTGTATCTGAGCGCCGTCCTAAAACTTTCGCGAGCTTGAACCCGTTGAGCCGGTTGATATGGCCTCTGAGCCGCAAATGCTGCCGCAACTGCTCAAGCTCGGAAGTCATTAATGCCCAGATCAGGTCTGCTTCTACTCCGCCCTCTCCAGCCGGACTGGCGTGCTGTGATATGTGTAGTCCGTCTAGAGACTCTCCAAAGCCTTTGTGTTCACCTGACCCTTCACGGCTTGGGGCGTCCACGTACTCGGGGTAGGGAGGGATGCGATCTTGGTCTTCTGGTTGAACCATGACTCCCGGAGTGAGCTTCGACACATGGTAGTCAGACGATCGTGGATTGTATGCTCAGAATGCCTGGCCTGACCTTCTCTGGTCTTGACGTACGCTGCAAGACAGGCGAGATGGCGGTTCGAGAAGAATAGAGCCTCTCAATGGCTGAAACCCAATCATATTGGTACATGTAGGATCAAGATCGGAGTTCCCTGCCGGTGATATGGAACCCTCCGCGTCTCGGGCCGTTTAACAGGCTTTTCCTCACCTCTGAAGTACGTCTTTCTCCGATGCGACACAAAGGCGATCGTTGTACGCCTCCAACCTCGCCTGACCGACCTCGACAAGCCCCACAGTCCGTCACTTTTGGGTGGAATAGTAGGAGGTCTATGGACAGGGATCAGTACGTGACCCACAATGATCTTGCCGTCTCTCCGCTACGCCAAGTTCAAGGTCTCGGCTGCCCACGTATATCGGACCTCCCGAGTTCCTCTGGTGCTGTCGGCTTCTAGGGTCATGGTTGATACAGGTTGCGACGCGTTGAGTGTTGGGCGGCTCACGTGTATCATTCACCTATCATGCTCCAGCCCGCGAACACTACACCCGCAATCACGCTCGTGGCTATCCAGTCGACTATGAGCATCCCAGCAGCTTCCCTGCGGGGCAGAGAGCCTAGTAGCAACACAAAGACCCGTTTCATATGAAACGAACGTCTCCGCTGCCACCCTTCAGATTGGGTTATGCTGGGGCTTGCCGCAAGCGGTCACATAATACTAACTCTCTGAACCCGAAGATGACGCGCACGGACGCGATGAATACCAGACTTTGGTGAGCCGGAGTACTCTACTGTACTGACAAGTCCCGATATCCACACATGTGAGCCGACATCGGCATCTCCGGCGCTGCACCGCCCCGGATTCTAGATCCAATGGCTGGTGAGCGTCTCGGCGGTGAGCGGTGAGCGGTGAGCCTCCATCAAGCTTCGAGCCTGTTTCAAGCATCCAGTCATTGATCACACTCAGTATGCGTGACCTTCTTCACCGGAGCGCTCTTATCACACCGCGAGAAAAGCGAATGCATGCGTCCGACAGATGTGCCAGTCCGCGGGACCACAATCCCCATCTTCACTACGCTGCGAGAGGTTTGGCAGTGTGACAACGTCTTCCACGACAGACGCGCATCTTCTATTCCTGACACTTGGGTGCATGAGCGGCGGATCCTCCGGCCGTAGTACATCACGACATCACCAGGGCCCCGAGGGAAGCGACGGCTAAGCCGGTCTACCAAAAAAGGGGGAGGGCGCCTTATGGGATGGCGAATCCTCTCCGTTTATAATGCCCCCACGAGGTAGCGGCCGAGCCGCTGATTCTCTCTGCGCTCAGTACACACCATGTCGCGATATTTTGCGGAACAACATCCTCGGGCTCGAGACTCTTCACCGTCGTCGTCGTCGTCGTCGTCGTC